CCCCCCCCCCCCCAAAAAAAAAAAAAAACCCTTGTAACAAGTTGAGGCCAAATACTAAGTTTAGCAGGTAGGCTAATAAGAGAGCCTAAATCGAACTTTTTATGGCCAGGTTCTAAAGTTATTTCTTTGACATCAAAAAATGTTCAGCTTCAAATGAAGTTGGGCTATTTATTTCCAACTCCAGAATTAAAATGCAAGTGATTAATGTGTTCCATATAGCTTCATATACTTTAGTCTTCAACAGGAGCCTGATAGCTTTCTTGACAGAATTTTAGAATGAGGCTGAAGGGTTTTTTTCTGATAAATTAAGACTGTCTTAATGACAAGTATAGTTGCCTTGAGAAATGTAATTCACTTAGTGACAAGGAGCACTTCCTTTATGAGGGAACTTTTGGCTTTTGAAAAAACATTCCTAAAAATTTCAGCAAAATCCAATCAATGTAGAAAAATAAAGTATGGCATAGTAATCAAAACAAAGGGGTATAAACCTACTTGTGGGAAGAGAAACTTGCTGAGGAGTTGGATTCCATGTGAACTGTAGCAATCACTAAACAGTGACCCTGCTAGAAATGAGATAAAGTGTATATAATTTACTTTAAACTTGCTGGTTTTCAATTGTTTTGGTGAGGATGGCAAAAGTAGCTGTAGAGAGTAACTTACAAACAGTATGAAAAGAATTGTTCTGAGAAACTGTCTGCCTTCAGTTGTGGTGGTTCTTTTAAATCTTGAGCACTTTGGCTAGGGACAGGCATTACACACAAACTCGTTTAAGTGATCAGAAACTGGTTTAAACCTATAACAGATCAGATGTTCAGTGCACATAAACCAGTTTGAAAATGGCTGAAACCAAGTTGAGATAAACCTGGCTGAATGTAGTATCAGACTAAACTGATTTGGCTCAAACTGGTTTATGCAATGTCTGTCCCAGATCCCTTGTTGGTTTAAGATAAACCAGACACCCCCATCATCCTGGCAGGCCCTCGAGGCTGGACAGGGCCCCCTGCTTCACAGCAGGGCTGGCCCTTTCCCTCTGCTCCCTGGCTGGAGCTCAACAGAGACTTGTAGATATAGCAGGGTCTGCTGGCTTCCCTATGCCCCCCTATCTCCCCCTCTCTCACCCCTTGCTGCTTAAGTAGAGATCCCCTCCTCCTCTCTGCCACAGCAGGGATCATAGCCAGTATGTGGTATGCTAGCTAATGCCGAGAGAGGTGTGTGTCTCCAACTTCACTGGGATAAGCAGACAGAACAATGACTGCTTAAGGCTTTTGGAGCTAATCAGCAGGTCAGCTGGTAAGCTGTTTAAGACATTTGAAGTAATGTGGAGAAAGGCTATTGTTTTGCTAGGTGATAAAGATTGCTATCAACCCCACCCCCTGGCTGGCTTGCTTGTCTGTAAGTTTGCTGCAGACAGTATGACAAAGCAGGGAGAGAGATTGAAAAACTCAGTATTATCAACAAATGTATGCACTGTACACCCCTGCTTGCTGTGGAGTGCTAGCCTGGGGCTGGCTACACGCCTGCCCCTTGAGCAGCCAATGGGGAAAAGCCTGCAGCCATGCAAGCAGACCTCCCTAAATGAGAGTATCCTGCAGGGGCCTGGCCATGTCCCCTTCAGCTCAGTTTAGCTCCCTGCAGAAAGGAAGGGAGGGGTCTTTTCTAGCGCTCCCGGCTTCTAGCCTGAGCCATTGCAGGCATGTGCCTGAATTTCCTCAGTCAAGAGAGAGAATGTCTGTCCAGTTCAGCCTAGCCAAGTTAGAATAACCTGCAAAGATTGAATCAATTCAGGATCAGGCTTTTTGAATATCTGTTCCGAGCCTCTGACGTTTTGTTTTAGCAGTATCTGTAAGGTGCAAGTCAGCCTTACCTCCTGTCGCACCTAAGAGCTATAAGCTCTTGTTGGAGATTTACCACTTTAAGTTCATGGAGTCTTTGGCTCCAGAGGCAACAAAACCTTTACATAACAAAAATGTCTAAAACCAAAAAAACCCCTACTGTTCTGAGCTTTTTTGCATTTGTACAGATGGGGAAAAAAATAGCCATATCTTTCAGGAGAATGGCTGCTGTGCACTTAAGCCACCCAGGAAGAACTGAAAAATATGAAAACCAATAACAATCTGTCACACTCATCCTTCCATGAGCTGCTGGTGCGGTTGGGTAATGTGACATATCAGCTTTCACCTTTTCCATTTTACAACTATGAAGCCTATTTGATACCAGCACTTAAACCAGTGTCATCAACACCCACCTCCATTTTCATTTCCCTCTTTGTTCTTGATGCGGTAGAGAAGACCAAAGATGCTCATCAATAGAGGCAAGGATTCATCTAGGCATGGTAACCTAGCAAATTGGACCAGTTTTTCTACCGTATGAGGCAAGGATCTTCTTGCCTGAGAGCATTTCCAGCACTTGCTAGACAATTTGGCAAGTTTAACTGTTTCAGCCTTTGTTTCTGCTGTAGACAGCCAGTGTAGGTTTTCACCTAACATCCTTCAAAGGCCCATCTATGAAACCCAGTTCTCCAATGGGAACTATAAGTTTAATTTAAACCACTGAGATCACAGCAGGTATACCTTAGAACTAGGTATGGCAGGTATACCTTAGAATTAGGAATCTCTGGAATTTGCACTGCAAGTGCACAGCGTGACAGCTTCTTTAATCTTGGAATTTTCCCCGTGCACCTCCCTTGCTGCTGATTGGTGGAGGGGCCCCATCTCTCACCACCTGCACCTGAAACAACAGCTGTAGCTTTCACCTCCCGGCCATCAGGTGTGGGTGGTGAGTGGGAGAAACTCTTAAGATGAAAGAAGATACTGTGCTATGTACTTCTGGTGCAAATTCCAGAGATCTCTACTCAAAACCCACCCAGTGTTTTTCCTTCGAGTGATCTGTTTTCCACCTCATGTGGATTAACTTATCAGCGTTCTTTACAAAACCTCCTGCCTCCTGAATGGAGACCTCATTGTACTCTTTTAAAAAAATTCTGGCTGTAGCCTAGTTTCCATACGACCAAGCCCTTTGGAAAAATCTTCCAGGGTTTCTCTAGCTGAGAGATCAAAATCTGTAGGGAATTCAGCTCAGTTTATCTAACTGGATGTCAGACTGTTTCCACATGTGAAACTTGATAGATACCAGAACTGGGCATTATACTGTTGGACGTTTCAAGGCTACTGTGGCTTTCAGTAAGGAGGCTTTATAGTTTACCTAGGAAATTAAGACTTGTCTCTGTGTTCTGGGGTACTACTTCAGAGTTGCTTACAGGTGGGACTGTTCATATGGGCAATTACTTGATAATGGAGAGAAGTTATCCATCTCAAGTTCTTTGAGATCCATTATTGACATACAGTGTGACTCAAGTATCTATTTTCTTCTCCTCAAACAGATGTAATATAGGTCTCTGAAAAAAGTAGGATTCCCGTAGTATAGGGTATGAGCAAGGTGCCTTACTGACTGTTGCAAAGGCAAAAAGTCTGTGATCAAGCAGTTGGGGTCTAAGACTCATGCAGAAATGAGAACAGTACCTCTCAAATCAAGTTAATGATAATCTTTCCACCTCTCTGACTTTATCTTGTTTTTAGTTACTCCTTGTAATACTTTTCAAAGATACCACTTTTAAGTCAACAAAAAATAAGGTCAAGGTTCTCAGTTACTCAATGGTTGCATCTACATGTGCACTTTACTGCAGAGTAGACTAATTAGCTCTGTAGTAAAACATCACCATCTACATGTCCTCTGGTATTAGGCCTCTGTAAACTAATGGACTCTGCCATAAGACACTACTGTCAGGACAGTAGTCTGATGGTGAAGTAACTTACTGTACTGAAACGTGTGTAAACAGTGACCAGGCAAGAGCTAGACTCATGCCTGCCACCTAGCTACACAACTCTGCAGGGTTCAGCACGCTCATGCCCCAGCCAGCCTCTCCACTGCCTGAGGCTGACTTCCTGGTACCCTCTGCCAGCCTGGGCTTGCTCCACCATGGCTAAACCTGAGCATAAGTATAGATGCTGCACTTGGGAGTAGTTTAGTCCAGCTCAAACAGCCCCCGAGTTTATTGCTTTGCCTTAATTTCACATGTAGAGGCACCCAGCGTGGCTTAAATATGTAGCTATTCATATAATCTTGTACTCTTCATGTTAAGGGAGTTATCCATGTAAAGAGAATTGAATGATTTATCTGGACATAAACTGGAATTAAGTTGAGATGTTTTATTGAAGTATGTAAAATCAAAAGCTAAAACACTTTAAGCCTTTCAGCTGCTGTATGTTACAGTTGGAGCACTATAATGCCCCATACGTGAGTTTGGGAGACTACAAATTTAAATTCAGGTTGGCATAATCAGTAATATCCAGATGATAATCCCAAAATGTTTAAATTGATGGATGAGAGAGGATTGTAATCTTCAGAATCATTTGCATGATTAGTATCATCTTTTAAAATGTTTCAGTAAATGCTGAGTACCAGCCTGGTTGAAAAGGAATTTTTTTCCAAAATATTAATACAGCTGAATTACTAGTCAGATTTCTATCATCCTAAATTACATGCACTTTTTTTGGGCATGTCTACACAGCATGCTACAGCCATGTAGCAATCGCCGTAGCAGCACACTCCCTCAGTATAGCGTGCCACTATGGTGACATAGTTGTGAAATCTGACCATGCACTGCGTTCATGGCACAGTAACCACCTGTACTGTACCATACTTTAGTACTTCCATAAGGAAGTACTAAAGCACAGCACTGTAACATTGTCACTGTATGCACCCATTGTTACTGACTCTAACTCTGCATCTGGGCAATTGTTGTTCTTAAGAGTAGAAATAGAATTAAAGAGAAAATGAAATTCAAGCCTCAGGTCCATATAAAGCTAGGTCAGATGCAGGTAACTGCAAGCTTAAGTGAAAATAAATTAAGACTCCAAACTAGAACTTAGAAGTATGATAAAAGAGTAACATAAGTTACTATAAGTAACCATGGAAAACAAAGCAGCTTGAGTTTTTTATAATGTAAGTACCTGAGTAAAATCGTTGTAGTTTGGTCATCTCAAGCCTAACTGCAAATGTAAGTTTCTTCAATTATAAAACATGCTATAGATTTTCTTCTTGGTATACATTTTTAAATGGACGTAAAGAACTCCAATTTTCCATTCACTTCTCCATTTCTGTAGTTGAGGAGTATGCTGAACACCTGTAAAATCTCATGTTTCTCCTAGGAGCAAAAGTCTTCTGTTTTCTTTTTTGTGAAGGTTCCCAAATAGGTGAGCAGAAAAGGTAATCTCCAAAAGCAAGCAATGTCATTTTAGGGTTTTTGAAATTGAAAATTACAATCATTAAGCCTCATAAGATTAAAATAGTTAGTTTAGGTAAAATATTTCAGCAAGTGCCAGTTAAGGCCTGGAACATTACTCAGAACCAGTAAACTAATTTTGGTATATGCCATGTGAAATATTTCTCTTATTCCTGTATGGAAGATTTATTTAGTAAAAAAAAAAAAAAAAAAAAACCACTCATCAAAGGACTACACAGCTGATGGTTGCTGGTGGGTTTAGGGCACATAACTTCATTTTAATGTAACAATCAATGGAGATTGATAATACAAAAAGTTGAAATTTGTCTAGAATCCTTTTAATGTTTTACTTTGTGTTGCTATTAAAAATGTGGAATTAACTTTGGTGTCAAATGTCTTGCACTGTTTAATGTAGGATTGATCTTCCTCCCACACACAAACCACCACCTTCATATGAAGAAAGAGCTCTCTCTGTGTCTCAGAAAGAAATCATTCTTCAGGTAGGTAAACAAGTATGTTTCATTTTTTAAATGAAATGAACAAATAAATACTAACTTAAGCTGTCCTGCTTGAAGTAGCATGCTGTTTTGTTTGGTTTTTTTTATAGTTCCTGACAATGTCAGCTGAGTAATGTTGGCCATCTGCAATATACAACTATTGAACCTGGCTTTACTTAATTTTAACAACTTAATGACTGTTCTCAGTACAGTATTGCTTTAACTGTTGTCTAGAGCTGTGAGCTACCATAATTCTGACATCTATGTGTTTTAAAGACAGCTTAAAATATACTTATAAACTGTTTTGCTTCAGGGTAAGTTGGATGTTATATACTTCAGAAAATAAGATTCCTTATCACACAGGAGGCAGAACTTAGTTGTGTATGTAATTAGTCAATGTGGGATTCCTCAAATAGCATTACTAATACTCATTTTTTACATGAAAGAATGAAAGTGGGGTGGGGGACCTTATACTAGCTTTTGGTACCTAAAAATCCATGGTGAAAAATTTACTTTTTTCCTTTTTGTAGGCTGCTAAAGGGCTGCTGGTTCCATGATTTCCACCCAATTGTGATTTTGGTTGAATTAGTTTCATTTGCTGTCAGTTTGGGTTTCAACTATCTGGTGGATAGTTTTCAGTTTTCACTGAAATGTAAATCTTCATTGAAGCTCCAGTAGAAGAGAAACATTTCCATATGAGAGTACCAGATGAAAATTTAGTTCAGGTTAAAAGTTTGCTACATATACTAACAGCCACTTCCAATGAAGGAGATCTTAAACTGAAACTAGCTACTCCTTTTATTGTTGAGATGACAGGACCAGAAGATGAGGCTGAGGGTAATACTGAAGGCCATCGAGTTCCATTAATGTAGGGGCGGGCAATTTATTTTGGGTGGAGGGCTGCTTAATGAGTTTTTTGGTGAGCTGTTGAGGGCTGCAAGGGTAGCTCCTCCCCTTGACATATGCCCTGCCCCCTAGTTGCCATCTTGGGGCCTGAAGTCCTGCCCCCCTAGCCCCTGACCTTTGCCACCAGACATCTCTCCCCTTGCCCCCAGAAGTACTCCTTTTGAGAAGGGGGTTTGCCACCTTGGAACTGGAAAAGACAGACAAAATTATATACTAAAAATCAAACGCTGACAATAGCATATTTTTAATTTTATTTTAAAAAAATATTTTTGTCCTGATTTTTTTGTCTTGTTGTGTGCGTGTGTATATATAAAGAGGTGATTGCATACTAGTTCAAAATGAAGTCTTACTCTTGTATATTGTGGGGGGGGTAAGGGTGGGTGGGTGGATATGGGGCTCATGTGGGTGGGTATGAGGGGTTTGTGGGGGGTTCAGGTTTGTCAGGGCATGTGGAGGGGGAGGGAGGCTGGAGGGGGGTGTGTGTGTGTAGTGGGGTGCGAATGTAGCAGTGCACAGGACTACCCCCCCACCCCAGAGGCTCAGGGGGGTGGGGGTGGCGTGTGCAGGGTATGTGATTTGTGTGGAGGAGGTTGTGATTCTGAGGTTTGTAGGTATGGTGGGATATACACGGAAGCCCCCCACACACCCCTCTAGCTGTTCAGTCAGTCTCCCCCTCTTCCCCCC